GAGAGAGAGAGAGAGAGAGAGAGAGAGAGAGAGAGAGAGAGAGAGAGAGAGAGAGAGAGAGAGAGAGAGAGAGAGAGAGAGAGAGAGGTGCACAACAGTGACAAAAAAGGCCATTATACTTGTTTGCGAAATACTTGCTGCCACGAGGGAAGACACGGTCCCGTACACGAATTGCACAGATGGCACTGCAGCTCGTGGCACACTATCGAAATTCCCCGGCATGTAAACAACAAGGAAATACAAAGAGTACTAGTCGCCGACGGAGCCGGAGAAATTCCAACCTCGGGGAACTACCAACTTCCTACATATATACATATATATATATATGTACACACAATCACCTACACGTGGCAAAGAAAAGTAACTACTCCCAGGTCCCAGCAATGACACACGACGCTCTCGTCAACCTGTACGAACTGTCAAACCACGCACTCCGTGCCTTCAACAACGCCCTTCACGAGTGCACGTGTGGAGTCGGCGCCATCACTACGGCACCCATAGAGAACAAGCAAGGGATGTAGCGTTTGGACATGCATGCACATGACGACGGACTGCGGAAGAATGTACACAGATGCAAGACTTCAGGCGGCGTCACGACCTCTCCCTTATTGCTTTAGCGATCTCCAACAATGTAGTGCACATCATCCTGTTCACCTCGTTGGACGCCTCGTAGTGCCGCTTCTGGGCGTCGACCTCGTGCTCGAGTATGTCGCACTGCCGCTCCAGGATGCTACACTGCCACTTGCTTGCCCCCTCTACAGTGTCCGCCAAGGACCGCCATCAATGCACTGTGCTTTTCCATTACTTCGACGATGGCGTCAAACGTTTGCTGGCGCATGTTCTTTCTCTTGTCAGCGTCGTCCGTGTTGACTGCACTGAACCCGGACTCCCGTGTCGATCCTCCATCTTCATCGTTGTCATCACCCACATCTCCCCCAACAGCGGATTCTCCTGCAACGGATGGCTGACGTTGAGTATCCCCCGACATCTGCACTCCTCCCCGGGCGCTCGTGTCGGCGAGGTTATCCGGGTAGATGGTCATTGGTCTTATTGCCTTGAGACATGTTGTCGATCTCAAGGTACACTCGCTGATCCATTCGGAAGTTGAAGCCCTCTTCTGTTCCCAACGCATGCGTCAAGATGAAGAAGTTCTTCCCCCCGGACGCGTTCTCGTATCATTGCACCTTCTTATACTACTAGAAGAGGTTATCCCACTTCTTGCCGATGTTGTCGGTCGTCCTCTTCACGCCCACCTCCACCAGACGCTTCTGCAGGTCCTGCAGCTTTCATTCCCTGTTGCGCATGCGGCCGTAGTTGTGTGGCATTCCATCGAAATGAGCTTGCTGATCCTGCTTCGCTCGAGTGATCTTGACCATCTCCTCAACACTCCAAGCTGGATGTTTGCCGCCCTTCTCGCCCACAGGACCCTTCGATCCACGACCACCACGTGGCGCGGCCTTCTGTTGACGTCCGCATCGACCCCTTCGTCCACCAAGCGCAGCAACGGGTCAAATCTCCAAGTCTTCCGCATCTTCTGCTTCCTCCTTGCAATGGGAATTTGGAGATTCTTCACCACTCGCCCTCCGGGTGTCGTCCGTATCACCCTATTCGTTATGTTATCAGCGGTCGCTCGGCGCATCTGTTGGCAACAGGACTCCCACGCCTGCCTCCCAATTTCTTCCCGTGGAGAAGTGCTGGTCTTCGCCACCGGTGCGGCCGCCCTCTGCCGCAGTGCAGGCGAAGGCGTCGCGGAGTGGATGGGTAACACTGCCCTCGGCGGATCGCCAGCTGGTCCCACACCTCCACAAATGGAGGGCGCTGGACGACACCCATCTGTCGTGCCACCCACACGGGAGGATCTTCCACGTAACCCCGCCACTCCCACCCGACTCGTGGCTACCATGGTTTGATGCACAAGTGTTCGCACCCACTCCAGCCGTCCCGCTTGACAAGCCGAAATCCAAGTCCACAATCTCCGTATCGCCACCGTCGATACCTTCCTCCAGCATTGCCGAGAACGACTGATGACTAGTCCCTGCTTCCCTTTGCTGGTAGTGCATCCCCATCCACTCCTGCGTAGATCCGCTCCCTAGAGGAAGAGTGTGGGACAGATCGTCCACCCATTCATCTTCCGGATCTGGCGGTCACGGCTGCTCGTGAGGCGGGAGATGAGTGTACAATGTGGAGTCGTACTATGCGGGTGGACGATGGCCCGACACCGGCCGCTCATGAATGGAGAAGTCAATCGCACGTTTGTGTTGTCCGACGGAGCTCTCCCGCCTTTCCATTGTCGCCTTCGTTGCCACTTGTCGTCTCCATCTGCCACCAAGACCCCGCACAGCAACACAGGCGCCCAACAAGACGACAAGGAGCAGGAGAAGAGTGGTCAGTAACAGGAGCGGGAGCCGTCGGAGGACGTCTGCCATGAATCGCAGCAGCTGTTGATCTGCACCGACCGGAGATCCCTCCCGCGTGCATGTCAATGTCGGGCAATGGACAATGTCGAGGAGAACAGCAGCCGGCTGGTGCTGCTCACACGGCAGGGATATTTTTTTTTCCGAAAAAGTTCGACCGTTGAACACCACGGCCGACGACGCGCGCAAGGAGAACCCCACCAAGAACGACGTAGTAGCCGAAGAACCGCCCCCGACCCTTGATGCGCCAACGGTAACGGGACAACGCTGTCGGGGGCCTGTCGCCTGCCGGAAGCCGATGTTATCCGCCCGGTGGACCACGAACAACTCCAATTTTTTGGGTGTCGACACACACTCCACGACGATCCGTCAATCGCGGCTCCTTGAGCCCAAGGGACCTCGTGAGGGCCCCTTGAATCGGAGGGACACTTTGGCTGGCGATTCTGAGGAACCCAAGGATTTATCCAAGGAATTTTGAGAATTAGGACGCAGTGTTCGCAGCCCTTAGGCTGCGGTATAGTGGGCATCCGCGTCTGTGTCAAGGTGTCGCATTTTTTGCAGCGGGCGACCAGGACGCAAAGTGGGTTCTTAGGGGGCAAAAAAATTTGGGGGACCGGTCCTGGGCAAAACTGCGGACTGCCTACAGCTAGCTCTGCTAGAACCGGGACTTTTGGAAAAAGGAAGGACCGGTCCTCGGGTGGAAGTGGACCCCAAGAAGAAGTGGGGGGCGTTGGACCGGTCCCCGGGTAGAAGCGGACCCCAAAAAGAAGTGCGAGCATGTGAACTGCAAAAGGGCCCTCAGGCCCAGGCATTGAGTCCCATCTTCTCAAAACAGGGAGGTCAAGCACAACGAAATAGGTGTTTTGCAAGAGGCAACTTTGGCGATTTTCTGTGCTCGGACGAACATGCACAAAAATCTGAAATTTTGAGAATCAATAGATGAGGTCGTGTTCTTTTCAGAAATAATAATAGAACATTTACAAAAAATCATTTACACTGCGAAATAATCGCCGCGCCGATTCGGCACATTTTCCATTTTTGCCACTAGGCCATGCCTGGGCCAACTAAAAAAGTACTCCAAATTCAGTGAGCTTTGACGCTCAGAAGAATGCGTGAAACGCCTAAAAATTGGAGTACTCGTAGATTTTGTTGTGATCTTTCCAGGAAAAACGCTAAATAAATTTAAAAAAA